GTCGAACGACCCTTCGTAAAGTCACGAAATACCGTGAAAATGGGCCAGTATCTCCGGCCCAGAGATTTTTATTTTCGGAGAGCCCGCGCGACCGCCTCCCCCCGGAATTTACAACTCCGATATTTCCTGGTCGTGTTCGGTGTTCCTTCCTCTGAACAAACTTACTATCGGTAGCGACGATAAAACGCTGACTTCATTATGTCCGTCCGTGCATCCGACCCGTAATTAATAGCCGCCTCCGCGTCGAATTTCTTTTCCACTTGGACTTCGGACGAGTTTGCCTCGTAATTCTTGGCGCGATTTCGTCGAGACGAATCGAATATTCTTCTTGACAGATCAGGGAGTTCGTCAGAATAACCGGACACCGGTACCAAACCGAGTTCGATCCTCGAATTTTTCGATTCCGTTGCTACGAAGCTCGACTCGCCTGGCCAATTAATAAACGAATAAATTAACAGCCGTGGATGCGAAAACTGGTTTCCTACGAGGTTACCGCGCGAATAAGCGTCGCGCGAAACTTGACGCGTGTAACTCGTTCTTCGCGAACAGGTAGCGAGTCGAAGATACTCCTACGTTTGAAATAGTAATTGCCGTGTGATAACACGAGTTTTTTAGTTCGCCGTTTTAATAGGCTCAAGTTCGTTGCTTCGTTACTCGAAAGTTCGTAACAGTCGATAGACAGTTTGTAGTTTACGCGCCCGTTGACGAGCGAACGAACGATAAACCGACGGATAATAAAAAGTTTAACGCGTCCTTAAATTATAAGGTTCGCTTAACGATATCGGCCAATGTCTGGGCGGGGGGTGATTTATCGATTCGACGGTGGCACGACTCGCGAAGCGCGTAACTCGAGGAAGAAAGTTTGCTAAACGAACACGCTTCGATCCTGACGCGATAGCGCTTCCTCCGACTCGATCTTCGCTCTATCTCGCGATCCCGCCCACTCTCGATGCGCATACATTTTCGCGCTTTCCTTCGGCGCCGCGCGTCGACGCGCTCGCGTGCCGATTGCTTTCTCGCGATCGTTATCTTGGCCAATCTTCGCGTTTCCCTGCGCTAAGCGTTCGCCGACGATTCCCGGTAGAATAGAGAGGAATCCCGTGAAAACGAATCAATTTCGAGGTTTGGCGCGACAAGATAGATAATTCCCATTCGTTACTACTGCTCGATTTCTACTTATCGCGTACTCGTTTGTTCTACTCCCGAATATTTGGTATAACCGATACAATCGTACAGACGATAAACGAGTAAATCAATTCGTTCACCGACAGACGTTCGATAATTGCCTACGATTTGTCATCGTAGGATAATGTCTGGTCACGGATCGACGACGGTGGTCGCGTTTAGGAAGGAAACGCGGAGTCGATTTCGAGCGAGGCAGCCGTCGATCGAGAATCGACATCGTTATAAGCTACCAATAGGAACACACCCACGAGAACGAGCGCGTTTCTTCCCGACATGAGTTATTCATCGAGTATATGCCTCTCCGGCCTGCCTCTTACACGTGTTCTAACGTCGCGCGCGTACACGCATCTTCTTGCCGCCCTCCCTCGCTTCGCTCGTTCTTCCTCTCTTTCGTTATCCTCTTCGTCTCGCTACTTTCGAACCCACGCATTGTAATCCAGGCTGATGGGAGCCGCACGGGGAAAAGAAAAAGGAACGCGGCGGCGGAACGTGTCGCGCGCGGCATGTGGCCGCATTATGTACGCTTTGCGCTCGCGGTCGCGATCGGAACTCGTGAAGCGCGGACGAGGAATTCTAGCTCCGCGAGCGCAGCCTTTCCGCCGATCCGTATCTGCTTTAATTTGAATAATCGTCGTTCGCGTCGCGCCCATCGAGCATCGTTCGTTCGTTCGCGACTCGCGGCTTCGTTGGGCTCGAGTGCTCGTTCGTTGGCTTCTTTTCCCGGAACGGAGAAGCGACCGCAAAGATCAGAGAAGAACTCGGTTTACGTTTTCCACGCGGAACGAGAGAGAGGTCGGGCTCCTCGAGAAGACTGGCGCCGCGACGCTCTCGACGATCGACCGACCCTCGACCGTTCTCGAGTAGCTGCTCGAGTATACGCGGTGTTCCTTCTCACGGAAAAGACCCGCCGAACACGGCCTCGTCGCTTTCCGTGTTTACTACTCGTCTGCTCAGATCTCGACGTCGCCTTCTCGTTATCGCCGCCACGAACGGCAATCTTCTTGTTATTATTAGAAACGTCGGAACATCGGAAAAAAAGCAACCGTGTATTTACTCTCTCCAGAAGCCACTCGACGAGCCGAGAAGCTCGTGCCACGAGGGACTTTAGTTTACGAATCTCGCGCATTTCGTGCAGCGACTTCGTTTCTTCTCTTTTCTAGTCGGTCGAGTTTCGAAACGGCAGCGGACGATTTACAGCGTCGCCTTCTCTCCGGCGTCGATTTCGAATTACGCGAAAATCAGCCTCGCCACCGAATTCGAGCGCATCGCGTGGGTGGCCTTCGCCGTCTACCGACCTCCACTTCTGTTCTCCGCCCCCTCGATGACCAATCGCTTTCGCGTACTCAAACGTCGCGCGTCGGGACAACAATCGTTTTCCCTCCTCGGTTTATAAATTTACTTTCGTAAACAATTTGCTAACGAACTTGCGTAATTTTTGCGTAATTTTTCCACTCGCCTCTCTCCGTTGTTCGCGTTTTTCTTTTTCCTCGAACGGCTCTCGGTCCCGGACATAGCTCGATCTCGAGCAGAGATAGGAACGCAAAGTTTTGGTAACGTTCGAAGGATGCTCGTTACGCGGGAAACTTGGTTAAGTGGATACAGTCGTAGCTCGTTAAACGGCGAGTTTCGCCACGGGTGACGAATTTGAAAAGCGACGGTGACACCTCGGAGTATCCGCAACCGCCTTAAAAACATTCGAATGCCAAAGCAAACGGGGGGTCCGGGACAGCTCGTTCCTGCGGTTCGAAGGACTCCTCGAGCGCGCCGCGTCTTTTCAGCTACCTGAAGGTGAGAAGGAAGAAAGAAGGAGGGAGCGAGCGAGATACCACGGGTCTTCATATTTTATACGGAATGGGATCCTTTATGCGGTCGACTACGGAGGCACCCAGCGTGTCGAATAGAATTCAGGAGGCCGGTACACGATAGGTATTTTGACATGCCCGAGAAATTAGTATAATAAAGGGGGGCTAGGTAGACCGGCTAAGTGCCTAAACGCGCGCCGTAAATCTCCCCTCGGTGCTCCGGAAGATCCAACCGATGCGGTAAAACGCGATGCTCCTCGAAACCGACGATCCGAATCTTTCGACGTTTGATCGATCGGTATACGTCTTCGTGGTTGTCTCTAACGGTCTTTATTGCTCCGACTCGTAACTCTTCCCCCTGCCAAGTCGCTTTCTTTTCTTTTATCGTTTTCGCCGAACCCGTCCCATCTTACGCTACTGCCGGATTCGCGAGGATGGCCGAAATCAAGATGGCGTTGGAACTCGAACGATTTTTCCAAGCATCGCCGAGGCGAGAGCTTTTACCCGGGAAGCCGACCAGACGCGGAGTACGCCTCTATTAGCAGCCACCGTAGGAACGCGTATCGCGACGGCTGAGCCAGCAGCAATGGCGTAATCGCGACGCGAGGAGACGTTTGGTCGTTCGTCGAAACGGTTGCATCCGCTTACCGTTTATTTCGCCGCTCCAAACACCTCGCGCGAACTTCGCTAGT